AAAATCAAAATGTCATGAATTTCTTCTATGTCCAATAATCTTTGGTTTGGACATTCATCAACTGTGCATATGATAAACAGTCAGCTGATCGCACAAAATTTCTCAATCATTTCGAATTCGATAATCACAGCACTAGAGATTCAATCGAGTATCTTGTATTATCACAGTTGACTTGGAACTTATGTGATTGAGATCTTGGAGAAAATTTGTGGCTCAGGTGGATGTTCGTGGTGATGTTTCGTTCTGTGAGTTGGATGTTTTGGTTTTGGAGCTTTCATTGTTCTCCTGAATAATATCATCAGCACAAACTTCAGATGGAAGTGAAGTATTCGAATTTCTTCACGTTCGATCCGTAGCTTGTTCTGTTAATCTCGATCTTGATTGATTGTTGTTACCTAAACCTGTCGTTGTTTGCACTTTTTTTTAATTGCATCTCCCTTTGGTCTGTTTCTTGATCCTATGTTTGCCTACGAATTTTCTGATTATTTGGTAAATTGGGTCAATGTCGATGTGTTTGTTGATTGCTGATTGACCTGAGTGCAAAGCATCTAAAAATTCCCTAATTTTCTTTGTGCTTTTTCCAAACAGTATTTCCACATTGTTCCAATCGAATGTGTGTCCATAATTTTCGGTGTGTACGGATATAAACGAAGCTTTGTCGGGGCGTTTGACTGCTAATTGGTGTTCACGTAAACGAAGCTGAAGAGGCCGTCCACATTGTCCCATGTAGTGTTTTTCACATTCGGAGCAATTTATTTTGTAGATGATATTTGGTTATGCTTCATTTGTCATTTTGTCCTTTGGTCTACATAGGATTGAAGTGATTCCGTTGGTTTGTGTGCCACACCTATTCCAAATGGTTTCAGTAGTCGTGCTGTATGCTCCGATGTCTTTTATGTATGGTAGGATGATCCGTTTATTGGTTCCTGTACTTGATTTCGCTTCTGTTGTTGATTTCGGTTGGTGTTTTTTGATGAAGTTGCGTGAATAGCCGTTCTTTTGCAAAATAGTCATCAGATGCTTTTCACCGTTTTTTAGTGCTTCATATGTGTTGCAGTGTGTCTTCGCTCTCTTGAACAAAGTTTGTACGCAGTTGGTTTTGTGAGTTCTTGGTTTCCGAAGTACTTGAGTCTCCAGTTATCTTGTGTTAGTTCTGGTGATTGGTACATCCAGAAATGATTCCTTTTCCATTGTGACTTTTATGTCATCGAAGACGTTGTTGATCCGATTGTAGATGTTCTCCTACACGTTCCTTTTAATAAATTCGAATATGTCGTCTACATAGCGAAGCCACATTTTTGGCTGGATCACTGATAAGACCGATGCTTCTAGTCTCTAAATTACAGTATCAATATATATATATAGGATTAATTTTGATTTTTATGATAAGCTAGAAGACATGTTTTGGATTCTTTTTATCAATATCACCTAACAGACTGTAAATACATAATTTAGACCATATGACAAGACTAACATACGAATGTCTCAAATGTCCAACTTATACAAGATCGCTGTCATGGTGACAGTGAACTGACATAATATTCAGATGGAGAATAAATGCGAACACCTATATGAACGATACATATTGACGAAACTAGGTTGGTAGAAATCAATTTCAATTATTAAAACCAGTAGTTTCACACAGAAATTCTATTACAAGGTTCAAACAACACTTCACATCAATTCAGACGACATCACATTTTATACTGAGAATTGGAAGTAGACATGAAAATAATGAACAGTAGTAATGGGATAGAACTGAAAAGGAAGTCACAGGACCGAGTAGATTGAAGAATGCTGGTTGGCATCCTATACTCCATTAG